TATCAACTTTTTTTTGCATGGAAAATAAATTAATTTCTAACCTTTTCTATTATTCATAATTTGGAATGTGTTAAAAAACATCCATTTTTTCTATTATGTTCATATTTTAAAATAGACTTCTCATGTCTAGATGAATTTGAAAGATACAATTTCTCTATTCTGTAATTTATGTAAATAATTAAAATTTGGTTGAATGATGATCAATAGTAAATCGCATGCCCTCATAAAAAAAATAAAAAAAAAGGTTTGGATTCAGTTGCATCTAACTAGAGAGGTATTGTTGGGTTTTATATGCCCATTTCAGTGCCTACAGTAGTGATTCAAATTGTTCATTTTATAGGATGTGCTAAGAAAATCATTCATATAAAGAAAAATAAGATGATTAGATATTTGTCATCTATTTTTTAGTCAAATTTAATTTTAATTATATAACTATTGATATCTAATTACCTTGATTTTTATATGAAAACTTTTCTCAACAAATTCTATAAAATGAATGATTTAGATGACGAAGAGATAGGTTTCGAAATAGGCCCACTAATCACACCAATATCTGTATACCTAACTGGAGTGTGGAGAAGTCACCCCTTAAAAAGGCATAGAATTTATGCTGCACAATTGGAGCAAATAACCATTTTTAGCATGCCTTACTCAGTTATTCATAAAAGCATCCTATTAATGACTGTTTAATGGGTGTTTATTAAGAGTTAAATAATATCAAAAAATTTATAATTTTAATATACATTTTATATATTTTTATACTTTTTTATATAATTTAATATATTTTTTTACACGATATCAATTAGACAAAGTTTAGAACTCTACTAAGGGTTCGTTTGGCAAGAAGAGTTTGGGGCTTTTTTGGCTATTTTAGCCACAAAAGACAAAATAGGCTATTTTAGCCACAAAAAACAAAACATCACATCCAACCCATAATCATTACACTATTCTCTCACGAAAAAAAGTCAAAAAAGCCAAAAAGCCCTTCCCAAACCAAGCTTTTTAGTCCAGGCTAAAATAGTCAAAAAAGTCAAAAAGCCAAAAAGTCAACCCACTTGCCAAAGGGAGGCTAAAAAGAAAAAGTAGTATATGATTCGTTAGTTAAGGTTCAACGCAATTTGCAACCAGATCATATTGTAGAGGCCATTTATTTCATGTCTAAAGTTAATAATTTAAGTAAGGATTTACACACCCCCCCCCAAAAAAAAAAAAGAGAGAGAGAAAAAAATAAGGTTTTTGTTTTTATTTCCCTTTACAAAATTCCTATAAAAAAATCCAAATACAATCTAAAAAAAATTAATTGGGAATAATTATAATTTGATTATGGGTCTCCTTAATGGTGCATGTTAGTTAATATGTCTAAAGTGGTTCTACATTCTTTACAAAAACAAATAATGTAGCAAAATTTATAAATATTTGATACTTTATTAATCACTACCATTAACAAATTTCTTTATTTTACCAGTAAAATTTAGTGAATCTAGTTTATATTTGAATCTTAAGTTGTGTTTATGTCAAAAAATTATTTATTTATTTGAAGTTTAGATCAAATATTTAAGTGGAGATTTTAGTGAAAAAAGGAAAATGTAAGAGAAAAATGAAAACAATAATACTACATGCACAATTAAAACACATAAAAACACACATAAAGTGAATTGTGTAGTTTAGATTTATTTTAAGTATAACTCACATAACATTCAGAATGAGCTTCAACCGCGTGCTATACTTTTTGTGCATTTTTTGTAATTTAATTTTATATAACTATCATTTCTCAAAAGATTTTTTCTTTTTAATTTTTATTTCATCTACTTTTCCCATTTACATATGTTATGAAGATGTCAAAGTCAATCAAATTTTGACCCTTCAAACGATGAGAAAAATGTTATTACTACAACATTAAACGCTTTAAAACTCTGAGAAGAAGTTACAAGAGTACAACACTTACAAATAATAATAAATAATAAATAATAAAAGGGTAAGTAAACAAGCAACAACAATGGTAGACACTTGGCATCCATTTCCACCAACCACTTTTACACTAAGTTTGGTTGGGGGATTTGAAAAGAGATTTAGAAAGAGAAATAAAAAAGGTGTGTGAAATTAGGTGAAATATAGGTATATTTTATTCACATTTCACCTAACTTTTCTATTTTTCTTTCCAAATCCCTCCTCAAATTTTCCAACCAAATACAACACAGCATTAAACTTATCCATAATTAAATAAAATTATGTCATAAATCTCGCAAAAATTTGAAATTTTAAAACTTAAATCCATACTTTATAATATAAAAACCTTTTAGAGATTTAAACCCTATTTTTAGTTGTTTATTATTATTATTATTAAGACTCTAGTTCTAGTTCATATGGTGTAAAGTACAAATATACAACACATTTAAATAAAAAGATGTAAATTAATCAACTCTTATACACGGTTAAGTTTGTTTGTCAAGTTTAGCAGAAGCGAGATTTGCGTGTCCATAACTATCCTCTTCTTGCCTATGTAGTTCCCCAATCCCTTTCAATCTCTTGTTTGGTTAGGCAAACAAGGAGATTAATGGTTATTGAGAAACAAGACTTTTAGTTAAAAAATTATTATAAATTATCAAATTACTTTCAATTTTTTACATGTCTTTTTATAAAAAATCAAATAGCTACCAAAAAAATTAATTTTCAAACAAGCCTTGATAATTAAAAAATGAGAAAATAATCAATCTTACTTCATTCTATAAAATAAAATAAAAAAAATTCCATCTCCCCTCACTATAAATAATTGGAAAAATATCACATCAATGATGTTTTTAAAAAATAATTATGATAAATTTTATAAACATGAGAGAATTTTAAAACAATAATATAGATTAAAAAAAAATTATTACATAAACATATGGGGTGCAAATGGTTTTGTGGCGGGTTGTGAGGAAAATGTTTGCACCTCTCCATATTTGTATAATTTTTTTTTCTCTCTCCGTATTGATATTAATCATTAAAATCATAAATTTTTTCATCAATTTATAATTGTTTTTTGAAACTAGGATTGAAATGTAATTTTTCCTAAATAATTTTGACCTACAGATTGGGTTCCTCCCTCTATTGAAGGGTAAAATATAAAATTTTATTTTGTCTATTATCCTACCCTAGTAAAACGTAAGTCTCGTTCGCGAATATACTATTTTAGTAATTTTTTGATTTTTCATGAAAAGATGTACAGAAAAATAAAGATAATAATGTGACAACTTATAATGATTTTTTGACTAAAATGTATAGTTAACAAACAAGATCGTAGTATAATTTGTCACCTATCGACTATAGTGTGCATATTGTATCTTTATCTCTTAATCACATGGGTTTAAACTAATTTTGTCCCTCGTTGGGATGTGAGTTTTTTGACTTTTAAATTTTTTTGCGTCTGGGTTAAAAAATTTCGTTTGAGATGGACTTTTTAATCTCATTTGAGATGAGTTTTTGACTTATTTGATTTTTGTGAGAGAAAAATTAAATGATTATAGTTTGAATGTGACGTTTTATCTTCTTAACTTTTTAGCCTATTTTATTTTTTTATAACTATTTTAACCTTTTCAAAATCAAAAACCCAAACTAATTTAATAAATATATAAAAAAATGAACTAAATAAGTAATTTAATATGCTAACAAAAATAATAATAACTAACAACCATCAATTGTTTAAACTTAAAAAAGAAAATATATAAATAATTAAACAAATTCACAGTCACTCACTTATGAAAAACTACCCCTCAACCCATTGTATATAGAAAGTACTTGAGACCCCACAATCTCTAATCGATTGTGATCACTTATTAAACACTTTATTAAGTCTTTTTTTTTTTTTTCCTCTCTCTCTCTCTCTCTCTCGTCCTTCTCTCTCACATATACCAACTGCACCGACGAGCACCATCGCCTACTAAGGTGAGCACCACCATCTCTCTCCCATCTCTCATTATATATATAATGTTATATTAAAAAGTCAACCAATTTTGTTTGTAATTATTTCAAAAATAAAATACATATAAATGTATAAAAAAAACAAATGATTCACCTAATTTAGATTCATTCAAATTGTCCAAATTGCGTAAATCAAGTGATTAATCAAACGATCGGTGTCACTCTTATCTATTATGATTATCACGCTCATCAACCAGTATATTAATTCGATATTCGTCTAGATGATCGATTAGACGATCGATATACACAAAATTTAAACAATTCAAACGAGCTCAAAAATTGATGAATATAGTATTGTTGAAATATATATAAGATAGTAAACAAAACAAGCTTTTGTGTCAAACTCATTCAAAATTTGTTTAATTGACTGGTTATATAAAAAAATCAAATTTAAAAACAGTTTTAAATTCTTTAAATTTTTTAAGCACGTTTAAACAACTTACTATTCAATTTATATATTATAAAAAATTAAGTCGTATTTAATTAATTAAAAATTTATTTAAATTAACTTATTATATAAATATATTTTATAGGGGGATGCACCAATAAATCCCAAATTAATAACTTATGTACTGTTTAGTCCTAAAAATTTTCTTCTAGACTGAAAGGTCCCATTACAATGTTAATAACATCAGAGTCATGTTACAAACACTGGATTTCAAACATCTAATGTTCATCAAATTTCAATAATGTTTGAAAATATAGGATGAAAAACATCTAATGTTCATCAGATTTCAATAAATTTTGAAATTATAGAATGAAATATCAGATCATTTACATCATTCACATCATGTTGATGTAAAAATAGGACTAAATGGAGCATAAGAAAATTTTTAAAACTAAATAGTTCAACGTTTCAAAAACTAAGACTTATGAGTAAATTTTTCTATTTTAAAACACGTTAAAATTTTAAATTAAACTTCAAAAAATTAATACTCAAAATCGTTTAATAAGAAGGGCATTTAGGTAAATAAATGGGACTTCTTGAATCGTGAGGCGGGAGGACAGATAGGTAGTATAAAAGCCGACGGTGGACGCCAAATCCCTCACCATCGAAAACCCGCTGGCCCCCAAAACACACTCTTTTCTCTCTCTATCTCTCTCATTTTCTGGATTTTGGAATCTTGCATACGAAACTCGGAAATCGAGAAGAGCAAAAAATCGCATGCCCTAGAAATTACGAGAAAAGAAAAGGAAATTTTCCGGTCAAAAAAACATCGACTCTTTGATCCGCATACACTGTTTGTTACATGCAAAGGTACGGACTCGAATTGGTGTGATCTGAGTTCTGGATTCGAAAGTGTTGGAATTTCATTTTGGTTTGAACTTTTGTGTGGGTTTTTTTTTATTGGGTGTGATATGGAAGGGCATAATGGGGGTAAATGTGGGTTTTGGTTCTGAACGATTGGGTTTTGTGGGTTTTAACGTTCAGATCTGTTTCTGATTTGGATGTTTGAGTTTTATAGGTTATAATGAATAGTTTTCCATGTTTTTATTTGTTTTTTTGTTTCTATTCTTTCTTGTTCTTTGTTTTCTTTTTTATGAGGTTTTGTCCATCTCTTTGTGTTGGATATTTGCTATTTTATTGTATTAGGCTGATTAAACAGGATTTTTTTTCCTCTTTCTTGAGGGATGTTGTCTAAAATATGGTCTTAATTATGAAAATTGAAGGGTTTTTTTTTTTTTAATCGCTGTTTTTAACAAAGTGAAGCACACCTTTTAAGAAAAAAAAATGGAATTTGACCCGTCTCTCTATCTACAAGCTTTTGGGTCAATTTGTTTTAAGCTTATTCTAAGTTGAAAGCACATAATTATTATAATTTTTTTTTTTTAAAAAAAAAAAAAACAACAGAAACACTTCTACAGTTTGAGGAGAATCAACCTTTTTTTTCTTTTTCTCTTATTGTTCCAGCTTATTTAAGCTATTTTACTGCATAAGCTGTCAAATTGATTACAAATGGTCGACAAACATTCAATTTTAGCTGAAGCAAATAACATCTTTGTTGGTGAATTGAAGCACTTTGGGGGTGCTTTTTGCTGAATTGTCTGGAGGACCCCTTTGTTGGTGAATCGTTTCGCTTTGGGGGATTTTAGTTGATAGCTGAATTGTCTGAAGGAAGTGATATATATACTATTATGATCTTAACTGCAATAGTCGCTTTGTTACTTGAATTTTAATTACAACTATTCTAACCGGTATTTCACATGCTATGCACAGGCAACTAACTTGTCATTCTGATGCATTTGGGTGAATATTCCACAAATTGTCCCTCCTGGTTACAAGTTTAAATTTGCCAAGAATACATTTCCCCAATATTGTGATTTTAACCTCTGATACGCTTCAACTGACTTGGCGGTAAATTTTCATCATGGTTGCTACTGCTGCCACCTCTGCATTCTTTGCTGTTGCTTCTCTGCAACCTGAATCTGGTGCCAAGACATCCGGCAAGGGTGGAGGAGTGCCATCAACTGTAGATGCACGAGGGATTAAATCCAAGTCTGCCTCTAGTGGGAGTTTGCAGGTTAGGACCAATGCACAAGCTCCTTCCAAGGTCAATAGCACCAAATTTGGTGTAGTTGAGGGCCTCAAGGGTGAGAATGATACACCATCACATCATGAAAGGACTATTATCAACCAATTGCCGGATTGGAGTATGCTTCTTGCTGCTATCACGACAATATTTTTGGCAGCTGAGAAGCAATGGATGATGCTTGATTGGAAACCAAGGCGCCCTGACATGCTCACCGACCCATTTGGTTTGGGGAAAATCGTTCAAGATGGTCTTGTTTTCTCTCAAAACTTTTCTATAAGATCATATGAAGTAGGGGCTGATCGGACTGCTTCTATAGAGACATTAATGAATCATTTGCAGGTGTGGTTAAAACTTTAGTTTCATTTTGTTCTAGAGAGAATATTGTTGGCTTATTTTTGTAGCCAAGAAAATAAGCAGCTAGAATGCTAAAAGAACACTGTATCATCATTATCATCATCATTATGTTAAGGTTTGTTCACTTCTTTATAAGCATAAGCTCTTTTTGCAGGAAACGGCTCTTAACCATGTGAAGGGTGCGGGACTTTTGGGTGATGGCTTCGGTGCAACTCCAGAGATGTGCAAAAAGAATCTCATTTGGGTGGTAACCAAAATGCATGTTGTGGTAGATCGTTATCCTACTTGGTAAGTTAGACTTATGTGCATACTGATGCTTTCTTACTACTCTAATGATGGTACCTTTTCGTCTCTAATGGTTCAATTGTCTGTAGGAAGCTGATGTCGTATTTGGCTGCTACTGGGTATATTAGACTCGTATTACATTTATTCACTCTTCACCATGTTGTAGAGGCATAGCTGAATCACTGAACTTGAGATATTTTGAGGATGACTATAATCATCGATGTGAAAATGAAATTTACTTTTGACTATTATTTCAGTCTTCAATCAGGTCTAAATGAGGAAGCATGCATGATAGTTCTTGATGCCTAAACTAACATGAACCTAAATCAAGGTGGAGGGGGTGAAGGGGGGGAGAGACTTGGCCTTTTTTTTTCCTTCTTAAATTTGTATTTTTTCACTTGTAAGTTTGTTCTCTTTTTGTGGGTATACTATCACCACTTGGCTGGCCTTATGGAGCCACATCATCTCTAAATCTCTAAATTAGAGAAAAGTATCTCCAAGTGGCTAGCCAATCAGGCACCATGTCATCTCCAAGTTGTTTGCTAAGGATATGAGCTTAACCTAAGTGGGGGCACGTAAACCACCATGGTAATGAACCACCTGATGAAGGGTGAGCTGACTCCCTTTGTTCAACTCTCCTTTATAAATGGACTCTATGCATATGTTGATGTATTCAAGTCATCCTTAATTATATTCTCCATCTTTGGCAAAAAGCAAGGCCTCTCCACCACACTCCTCTCTCTCACCCTATGAAGCACGGGTACTCCAAAAATAGTGCCATACGAGTACCGGGTGCGGGTACGCGTACCGGTACGGCGGTACGCGTACCAGGTACGGCAAAAGAGGGTCCGGTATGTTTGGTTCATTCGGATACGGCGTCGGTACGCCGTTGGTACGTTTCGGGTACGCCAGGGCCAATTTTTTTTTTTTTTTTTTTTTTTTTTTTGCCCTTGCAAATCAGCAATTATTATTATTATTATTTTTTTTTTGTGCCCTTGCAGATCAGTGATTTTGATGTTTCTCTGCTGTCCTGTCTATCTATATGAATTGTATAAACATATCAGCAAATGATTTTGATGTTTTTAAAAAGCAATTTGAACCAAAAAAAATAACAAGGCCTATAAAGGGTAGTTCTGTGTATGACTATGCGATATGCTTTTGCTTTAGATCCTCCTAGAATTTCTTTGTAAAATCTTTAATCATAACAAACTTTTAAAGTTAATGCACAAAACATTAAAAATTGATACTGTATTAGTTGATTAGTAGTGGTTGGGAATGATGCAATTTTATGTATTATGCAAATTGCAATTGACAACCTGTTCCAATTGAGAAATTTTTTTCCTTTACTGTTGGCAATTAACTTTAAATCTTTCTTTGGTCTCCTTTTATTTCTTTGGTATCACCCTATAAAAATAGCAAATTGATGAGCAAAAAGAAAGATTTTAAAAATAAATTATGATCACAAATTTATAGTGCATAACATGTCAAAGTGAGAGATTTTACAAATATTATTTTTAACGCTTAATGGTTTTAAATTATAGAAAAATGAGTAGTATTTTTTTTAGTTTTGATATTTAATTTTAATTTGTAGGTTGAATCCTTTAACCATAATTATATTTATGAAAAAAAATAATAATATTGGCATACTGCAGCCGTACCTGTATCGTATTTTTTTTGAGTTTTGCCGAATCGGCGTACCCGTACTGTACTCGTACCCGCACCCGTGCTTCCTTGCTCTCACCTAAGGCTGCTTGAGGACCTGGGCTCTCAACTTCTTCTTTGCCATCTCAAATTTTCAGAAAGCAGCTTTTTTGTATTTTTTTGCCACATGATGACAATCACATTCACAGATTTCTCTCTGTCTCTATGTAGGTTTTTTGTTTTCATATTTACACTCTGATTGTTTGGGCATAAAATGCTATTTGCATTTTCTAGCATTTGATACAAATTACAATAGAAAACAAAATGTTTTTTTTATTCTTTTTGCTTTTTCCTTCCATGATTTCAAATAACTACCCTAAAATAGTTATTTCAAATCCATCATTATAGAACTGTTCAATTCAATTTTAAAATTTATAGATGAATTATCAAACCTAAATTCAAGTTGTTTTTCATAAATGAATGATTAATGCCAAATCCATGCATTTCAAATCCCTAAATACAAACGGAACCTAATAGTCTGAACTTTGTTATTTCTTTCAGGGGCGATGTTGTGCAAGTCAACAGTTGGGTAGCTGCGTCTGGAAAGAATGGTATGCGGCGTGATTGGATTGTCCATGACTGCAAAACAGGGGACATTCTAACAAGAGCTTCCAGGTAGGAGCTTATTTAAACAAATCTCATGACTTTTATATGGATGTCATAAGTTATGTGAGATTCCCGTATAGCCACAATATCCTTTCACGAACACTATATCAGCATGTTTATTGCCTTGGAAAAGGGTGCATATATTATTCTGTTATATTTGAACAAATAAAATTACAAGATATTGTTGAATATATGTAAACTAGTTTAAAGTGAACAATATCCGACCTTCACATCCCTCCTGATAATATCCATAAGACTTGTTTGGATTAGGTACATATCCCCAGGAGCATGGTAAGCCATGGATTTTTAGTGTGTCAAGAATAACATATTCTGAAAGTTAGATCACTTATTGACTGACCAGACTTTTTTTTATTATTTATTATTATAGTGACTTTGGTTGGTTGCAGTGTCTGGGTGATGATGAATAAAGAGACACGGAGGTTATCTAAGATACCAGATGAAGTTAGAGTGGAAATAGGTCCTTATTTTGTGGATTCACCTCCTGTTCTGGATGAGGACAGCAGAAAATTACCAAAGCTTAATGAAAGCACAGCAGATTATATTCGTACTGGTTTAACTGTAAGTTAAAGAATTTGATTGTCATGATTATTGATCTCTGTTATGCAGCATATGAATGCTTTGTGCTGCTCGAACTTTGGTTGGTTGATATGATTTGTGCATTTTGAATTGATCAGCCTAAACGGAGTGATTTAGATGTCAACCTGCATGTTAACAATGTGAAATACGTTGGCTGGATTGTTGAGGTAAATCTCTTTTCTTTCTTTTGATGCTTTATCTATTTGATTTCTCTGGTTATTAACTTTATAACCTGTCACATAAAATATATGGTTTGTGATGCCTATTGGATGCTCTGTTCAAACCTAATATCATTCCCCTCCAAAATCTTTGATGAGATGAGATTACACTAGCCAAAGCCTTTGTTTTAAAAAAAAGTTCGCTTCATAGAAAAACTATAGAAAGAGTAAAATAATAAAAAGTACAAGGTGGTAGTATATATTGTGGTTAGGTAAAGCTGTGCATGCATTGCATAAATGTATAATAAAGTCATGTTCAATGTGTATGGGTGGTTTTTAAGTTGTATGTGGCATCGATACAAAACCTAAAGCTCTGAAGTCAGTTTTCTCTGATTAATTGGATTTGATAAGGCCCATAAAGGGTTTGCCTGAATAACACCAGATGAGATCCCTTTCCCCGTTCAAGTAATCATTCTTTAGTTGTGGTTACCATGAGTATTTATTAATTCTTTTTGAAAAAAAGCACACGCACATGCACAAACACACAAAAAAAAGAAAACAGAAAGGCCTATTAATCAGTTGTTTTTGTCATCACCCCAAACCTACCAATATTGGCACTGATGGTACATGTAACATTAATTATGAGTGGAATAATGCTCACATTTACTTCTGCTTTTTTCCATTAGTTGAGTCTAGGTTCGTGCTTTTTTCATTATAACATAATTTCAAAATGATAATTATCACAGGTCACAATCTTTTTACATTTTTCTTAGAACTAACTATTGGGATGGACATTAATATGACATACCAAGATTCATTTAGAGAAATCATTTGATACTGAAGGCATTTATAAAGTTAGAGTTTTTTTTTTTATTTTTTTTATTGGCCCCGGGGTATCTGGATCAAAACTCTACTAATCCTCAAGAGTACACAGGCCCTTGGCAAGGAGTTTCCCGCAAGTGCACCACGATTAATTCAAGGGTTTTCTCCTAGTCCGATGGCCTCAAAGAATTTTTAACACTTAAGAGATTTCGATCTTTAAAACCTTGGAGGAGCACACTCCCAAGATCTAAGACCTTCCCACCAGACCAACCCTTGGGGTTGAAGCCATTTAAAGTTGGTTATTAAATTGATTTGAATTGATTGGGGGCATTTGGACCTTAGTAGAAGGAAACTTCTACTTGGGTGATGTTTCTTACTCAGAAACATGATTCCACGCTCCCAAAATAATGAAATTATAAGAAATTCACGTCCATTGAGGAATATTACAACTAGATAAATAAAATAATTGTTAGAATATTTTTATATATTTAATATATAAAATATATAAACGCTCCCCTATGTTACACGGACTCGGGTACGGGTATCGGGTGTGGGTGCGTATCTAAGGGTCGGACACTTCAAAATTAAAAATTAAGGATACGTGGATATGTATCCAAATTTAGATACGGGTACGGGGATACGTTAAATAGTTAATAAATATATTATCTAATAAATATATTATATGTTATATAATAATTATTATATAAATAATTATTAACTATTATTATTATATAATATATAATAATAATAGTTATTATTATAGTTATTAACTATTATTATTATTATTATATATTATTATAGTTATTATAATAATAGATAGATAATAATAATAATAGTTAATAAATATATTATCTAATAAATATATTATATGTTATATAATAATTATTATATAATATATAATAATAATAGTTATTATTATAGTTATTAACTATTATTATTATTATTATATATTATTATAGTTATTATAATAATAGATAGATACGAATAGATAGATAGCGAGACAAATCTGAATAAAGAAGAAGATAAAATGTGAGAGAGAGAGGGAGAAAAGCGAAGCGATCGCGATTGCGAGGGAGAGAGAGAGGGAGAGAGAGAAGGCGAGAGAGAGAGAGAGACCAGATGGAGCTTCGATCTTCGATTGGATCGACCGGATGGAGACTGGAGGTCTTCGATCTTCGACTGGATGGAGCTTCGACCAGGTTCTCTCTTGCTCTCTCCTCTTTTATTTCTTTTGCTTTCTGTGATGAGCCGTGTCCAAGAGAGAACAGGCGAATCCGGCACAGATCCCACACCCGCACCTGTGCCGTGTCGTGTCGTGTCGACACGAGTACTTCGCTCCAAAGTGCCGAATCCATGTAACATAGACGCTCCCACACTCCTAACCTTAGAAACTTCTATATGACCTCGCTTCTATCCCCTCTCCCGTTTCTTAGTTGCTATATGCCCAGCTCCCCCTCCCTTGCTTCTGTCCCCTCTCTTGCTTTGCTTAACTAAGATTCGGACCCTCCTCGAAAACTGAACAACTATTTTGTAATTTTGGTACAAGTCAAAATTAGTATCTAAATGAATTTGATACTGTTAGAATAGTTATTTTAGTTATTTTTGTTCTTTTGTGCTCTTGTTAATATTTACTTAAGTTGAGAGTACGATGGTCATATTGCTACTTTAGGGGTTTTATATATATTTGACTAATGTAAAGTTGAGGTATAACAATTTTTTCAATATATACAAAAGTTCTCTCTTCTTCTTCTTCCTTCTAACTTTTAACCCTAATTTCTTCATTTTACATTCTAACTTGGTATCAGAGCAATCTCTTCTTCACCAGAAAGGTTTCTACAGATTCTAGAGATCGATCTGAGGTGATCGAGACGTGCTGATGTCATCAGTCGTACGATGACGTCAGCATGACGTAAGCACTGTACGAACGGGTCCTTTACCCCTACACTCGAAATTGCCTCCTGAGATTTATGGTGATTTTTGTGGATGATTACTTTCGGATGACTTGGTTGTTTTTAATGAAACAAAGCTTTGATTTGCCTTCCATCATCTCTAAGTTTTATAATGAAATTTTTACTCAATTTGGCAAGCGTATTAAGATGTTTCGGTCTGATAATGCCTTAGAATATGTGCAATCTATTGTAACTATCTTTTGTGATGCTCAAGGTATTATTCATCAAACTAGTTGTTCTCATACATCCCCGCAAAATGGTGTTGCAGAGCGGAAACACCGCCATTTGCTAGATGTTGCTCGCACCCTGATGTTTAATATGCATGTCCCCAAACAGTTTTGGGGCGATGCCGTTCTCACCGCTTGTTTGCATATGAATCGCATGCCCTCTAGTGTTGTACACACATCTCCCTATTATCTGTTATATCCCACCACATCTCCTTTTCCCTTGCCTCCTTGCATTTTTGGGTGTGTGGCCTTTGTCCATGTTCTTGACCTTGGGTTGGATAAGTTATCTCCTCGTGCACGCAAGTGTGTGTTCTTAGGTTATTCTTGCACTCAAAAAGGGTATTGGTGTTATCATCTTGAGTCTCGTCGCTACTTTGTCAGTGCTGATGTAACTTTTTTTTAGTCTACTCCGTTTTTTTCTGCCTCTGGGCAACAGTTATCTACTTATCTTCTCTCTTCTCGTGAGGGGGAGCCAGCCTCTCTCACTCCTACTCTTCCCTCTTATGCTCCTTCCACATCCACTCCTATATCCTCTCCATCTTCTCTCACTTCTATCCCTCCTTTGCAGGTTTATCAACGGTCTCAAGCTCGTCGCATGGGTCTTATGGCCCGACCAGTTCATCTCTTTCATCTGAGGCTCATGTTTCACCTGCTGCTCTACCATCTGATGACCTTCTTATTGCACTCCGCAAAGGTAAACGCACTTGCACTCAACATCCTATTGCTCATTTCGTTTCTTATGATCGCCTCTCTCCTGGTTTTCACTCTTTTGCTTGTAGCTTGTCTAGTATTTCCATTCCTCGCACCTATCTGGAGTCTATGTTCATCTCTAGTTGGAAGTCTTCCATGGATGAGGAAATGCATGCTCTTCATCAAAATCAGACCTGGGACCTTACCCCTCTGCCATCTGGCAAATTTATTGTGGGTTGTCGTTGGATTTATACTGTTAAGTATCTTCCTGATGGAACTGTTGAGCGACTTAAGGCTCGCCTAGTAGCTAAAGGCTCTATGGTGTTGATTACTTGGAGACCTTTTCTCCTGTGGCCCGTCTCAACTCTGTTCGGATTCTCCTTTCTGTTGCAGTTAATCAGTCTTGGCCTTTATATCAACTGGATATCAAGAATGCCTTTCTCCATGGTGATCTCCACGAGGAGGTCTATATGAATCAGCCCCCTGGCTATGTTGTTCCTGGCAAAGAGCATCTTGTTTGTCGATTGCGGAAGGCCTTGTATGGTCTTAAGCAATCCCCACGTGCTTGGTTTGATCGCTTTAGTGCTGTTGTGCTTGTCTATGGATTTCACCGTTCCACCTTTGATCACTCTGTTTTTGTTCACCACTCGTGTACTGGGCGTGTTGTTGTTATTGTTTATGTGTATGACATCATCATTTCAGGGAGTGACTCCAATGGTATTGCTACTTTGAAGCAGTATTTGGGACAACAATTTCACACCAAAGACTTGGGCCATCTTCGGTATTTTCTTGGGATTGAAGTTGCTCGCTCTTCTCAGGGCTTGTTTCTTTCTCAACGGAAGTATGTTCTTGATCTTCTTATCGAGACTGGCCTCTTAGGCTCTTGCCCCAGTGATACTCCCATGGATTCTAGCGTCAAGCTTGATGGTGACACTGGCGACTTCTTTCCTGATATTGGTCGTTATCGTCGGTTGGTTGGCAAGTTAATATATCTCACTGTCACTCGTCCAGATATTACCTATGCCGTGGGTGTGGTCAGTCAGTTTATGCATGCTCCCCGCCAACCCCATTTTGTGGCTGTGTGTTGTATCTTGCAATACTTAAAGTGTGCTCCAGGTTGGGGGTTGCTCTATCGCCCATCTTCCTCTTTGTCTGTCACTGGCTTCAGTGATGCTGATTGGGCTGGTAATAAGACTGACCACCGTTCTACCTCGGGCTATTGTACTTTTGTTGGTGGTAATCTTGTCACTTGGCGTAGCAAGAAACAGACTGTCGTTGCTCGTGTGCCGAGGCTGAGTATCGTGCCATGGCTCATACTGCTTCTGAGATGCTCTGGGTTCAGTCTCTTCTCCAAGATTTTGGCTTTTCTATTTCCACTCCTATGAGCATGTTCTGTGACAATCAAGCAGCTATCTTCATTGCCAATAATCCTGTGTTTCATGAACGCACCAAACATATCGAAGTTGATTTCCATTTTATTCGTGATCTCTTGCTCCGCAAGCAACTGGTGACTCCTTATGTTCGTTCTGAGGATTAATTGGGTGATATTCTAACCAAACCTTTGGCTCGGCCTTCGTTTCGTTTCTTCGTTTGTCTGCCAAGTTGGGCATGTTCGATCTCTATGCTCCAGCTTGAAGGGGAGTGTTAGAATAGTTATTTTAGTTATTTTTGTTCTTTTGTTCTCTTGTTAATATTTAATTAAGTTGAGGGTACGATGGTCATATTGCTACTTTAGGGTTTTTATGTATATTTGACTGATGTAAAGTTGAGGTATAACAATTTTTTCAATATATACAAAAGTTCTCTCTTCTTCTTTTTCTTCCTCCTAACTTTCAACCTAAATTTCTTCATTTTACATTCTAACTGATACATTTGTCTAAAGTCAAGGCATGGCAAGCAATTAATAAGCTTCTTATTTCTGCTTAGTTGATTTCATTATTATGTTTTATGGTGTCTAGTTTTGTTCTAATATGCTGTATGAAGCACAATGTACTTAATTCAATAGAGGTTGGAATTTTTGAATGCCCTCATAAGTTACCCAAGCATTCCAAGTTGTGGTTCCCTGATGGTTGTCAACTTTCCATGTTTTATAAATTATAGCATGCGGAGAAATATGTGTGAGAAGCCCTTATTTACAGTTTTCAATGATATGATTAGTTTTGCTGATCCCAATGGTTCTGTCCTTATGTTTTATACCTACGATGTTGGGCTTGAGCCCACTGCTTGAGCCCACTCTATCACCCCTCTTGGGCATGAAATCCTCTACCCCAAATCTCCATGCCCCTCTATGTCCCAATACGTTCACAATCATTGGATCAGTGAAAATCTCCAGCCGCAGTAATCTTGAGACATGATTCATTAGATGTTGATCTTTTGGAACTTTTGTTTTTTTTGTGAGAAATTACTATATTACCCTGACTTATATAGCAAAAAGCAAACATGCTTTTCACTTGTGGCTTTTTTAGGCAATAAGCAGCTTATTTAGCTATTGCCAAACAGTGATTTAGTTTCATATTTACTTGCCATCTCATTAGAGCTAGATGCCGGTTTGTTGCAGAGCGCTCCACCCCCAATTTTGGAGAGCCATGAGCTTTCTAGCTTGACTCTGGAGTACAGGAGGGAGTGTGGGAGGGACAGTGTGCTGCAATCCCTAACCAAAGTATCAGGTGGTGGTGGTGGATCGGTTGATTCTGGTTATGTTGAGTGTGAACATATGCTTCGACTCGAGGATGGGCCCGAGATTCTGAAGGCAAGAACTGAATGGAGGCCCAAATATGCCAACATTCTTGGGAGCCTTGGTCAGCTTTCTGTGGCCGAAAGTGCTTAACTGTTGAAGTTCTTTGTAGCTGTGGATTAGCAGTAGTCTCATCCTGTGTCTCAATGCCTCTGTAAAATGTTACTCAAGTATCGGGATTTACATATGTTTTTTTTTGGGTTATAAATATTTCCTTCTTATCTAAAGTTCTTATTTGGGAGAATAGAGAAAAGTAGTAAGCCCATTGTAAGTAGATCTTCTCTCTCTCTCTCTCTCTCTCTCTCTCTCTCTCTCTGTGTGTGTGTTAAGAGTTCCAGGTTGACTGCCTCCTCAAATTGGCAACTGATGTTTTTGATGGCAATTCTATATTTATTTGTAATGGAAAAATGTTCCTCAAATTGGCAACTGATGTTTTTGATGGCAATTCTATATTTATTTATAATGGAAAAATGTTCTCTGGTGGAACATGTAGGGCCCATCTTATAAAAATTGCTTACATGTGATGACAAAAAACCATTGTTGTGTTATATTTATTGCTATGTTGTTGTAAACCAGGTTCATGTACATGGACAAATGGTGCATCCAAAGCATGAAGCTTTTACATGATTAGGCACCAATGCACTAAGACAGCTTAAAAAGTAGTAATATACAATACAACTTTGTCAAATAGCTCATTGGAATTAAAATCAAGTGGGGTAAAATAATAAAGTGCATTCATTTTTAACTTTACTCCCATGTCCAAACAGCATTCTAAGCTTTTATCGTGAAAAGTAATATTGTTAGAGTTGTTTTACTTGTACCGCTTATATTTAGGTCATTTTTTGACTTTTTATGAAATATGTGTTGGATTTGGGTTGGGTTTGAAGTGATGTGTTAGAGAGATGATGTGATTTAAATAAGATGATGTGACTTAAATAGAATAGTGACTTTTTGACTTTTTGAATTTTTTTGAGGCTGCCAAACTTGGCCTTATCGTATTATTGAACACAATTCTTTTACACGAGTGTTGAAGAATTCACAAAAATATAAGCTTCACTCCATGTAAGAGAGTTGGTGTCTGATTACATGATTGAATTTTGTATTTCTAGACATTTTTATGTGGGTAAATGACATAGATTGATGAAGTGTGGAAAACAATAAGTTCCATAATTTTAATATAATTATATTAATTTTTCTTTTAATAAGGCTAAATGAATCATAATTAAAGCAGATGGTATGAAAACACAAGAAAAAATATGTATTTCAATGTAAAAGATATGAAGATATCATTCTTTTATTCGTTTGACTAACGAATTATTGATAAGAATGGGGTCAATGGTTATAAATTAAAATTTTAAGGGAGTTCAATGTTCATGTCAAAACTGTGGGACTTGTTGTATTTTTTTCAAATCTCAGAAAATGTTAATTTACACTATTACAAAGTTTGAATATCAAGTGAAGTGTTTTTGATATGGTGAAATTTATTAAACTAATTCATTCTTGATACATCAAATAATATCTAAAACAACAATATTAGGTAGCTCAAAATTTTGTGGCTCAAATCACTCAAAACAACGTTGTTTTGACAGATTTGAGCCATTTGAGCCACAAAATTTTGAGTTACCAAACATTTTCCTATCTCAAATTTGAACACTAGCATTATTGCATTAAAAAAAAAAAAAAATTGGATGAATTTGTCAATGTGAGTGTTTTCATATATATTTTTTGGTCTGGGTGGCTTGATTTCATTCAATTGTTCCAATAGTCAAGCGAATGGAATCTTGATTTTTTTTTCTTTTCCCTTTCTTTCTTTCTTTTCTTTTCTTTTTTTTTTTTTTTTTTTTTTTTTTTTTTTTTTTTTTTTTTTTGATAAGGGTAAATTACATGAGTTTTGAAGGAAATATAAGTAATTTTAAATTTTGATATAATCATATTGACTTACTTTTAATATGGAGAAAAAGAAATTCAGTGTAATAGAGATGACATCATTTTTTAATCCAAATAACTAAATAATTATTGATGAAAATGAAGCTTAGTATTATGAAGGAAGCACAATGTCATTAAGTCAAAATTGTAGAATTTGTTATATTTTCTCCGAACCTCAACACAGATCAGTGTATTTTATTGGCCAAAATTTTAACTTGTTTCTTTGGATTTTTATTATGATGCTTTTAGTAGATTAGGGTTAACCGTGAAACCTTCGCTTATTTATGTGTGATTATTTGGTTGTAGTTTTTTTCTTTTTTCATTCGTCTATCATAGTAATTATATATATTTTTATATATTGTGACCTTTTTGTGTCAAAGGGTTGCAAAAGGGTATTTATCATGGTCCAAAATGAATCAAAAAAAGTGAAGTTTTGGTTCACGCACCTTGAATAGAACATAATTTGGATGAGGCCATTTGTGATATAATTTTTTAATATATTTTTTAAAATTTTAGTGAATTTTATTTTTTATTTTTTTAAAAAATTTAGACTTTTAGAATATACTCAACTAGACTAACCAGAAAAAAAAAAAAATTGAGAAAAGAAAAAAAAAAGTAGAAAACAATTTTTTTTTTTCCTTTAGTAATAATTTTTTTTTGGATTTTTTTGTTTAATTTTTATATTATTTTTGCACTAAATGGATTAGAAAATAATTTTTTGACACAAATTTGAAAAATATTATTAAAGACAAAAAGTTCAGGAAAAAAAAAACTATAATTTTTTTAATTGATTACCAAACGAGATATATTAACTTTTAGAACAATGTTTTGAGAATTTTAAAATGCACCTTATAAATTTCTCTTCACATTTTTACAAGGATTTAAAATTTAAATGTATATGAGGTCGACATTTAAAAAAAAAAATAAGAGCGTGTGTTTAGAAGCACCTGTTGTTTCTTTGTCTTGTATACTACGCCAAAACAGGACATTAACGGCGGTAACGAAAATCGTCGTTAAAGGTATCATTAACGGCGATTTTGTTACCGCCGTTAAAAAAACCGCCGTTAATGCCCACTTTTAACGGCAGTAACAAAATCGCCGCTAATTCCCAATCATTACCGCCGTTAATGACAGCGGTCTTTGCCGGCGAAACTCGGGCGTGCTCCAGCGAAACTCCGACGAGTTTCGGCGAAACCATCTACAATAAACTAAAAGTAATGTTTAAATATTTATTTAGGAAATATATTTCATGAAGAGTGGCTATGGTAGAGTGGTTAGTGTGGGTGGATGAGAGGTTGAGGGTTCAAGACTTAGGGAGTGCAAGAGTAAAGAATTATTTTTTGAAAAATTTGAACCTATTTACGGCGGTAAAAAACTGCCGTTTTTGGTCCTATGTTACCGCCATTTTTGGTCGACTTTTAACGACGGTAATTTACCTTTTTACGACGGTTGTACTTTTTCCGACACGCGCATAAACGGCGGTAACAAAACCGCCGTTAATACCCCTAACGGCGGTTTTACAGCCTTTAACGGTGGTAAAAAACCACCGCTAAAACCCAATTTTGGCGTAGTTATTAATTCTATTCCACTAATATATTTTTTTATATTTCTAATAAACTTTAATCTATAGTTAAAAACAATTTTAAAATAGATATTAAAAAAAAAATCAATGTTCAACATAATTAATCCAACCACAATATATTTATATTTAATCTTTTAAAATATTTTTTTATAACTTCTGTTCCTACTTATTTTTATTTCCAAATGAATAAAAATATTAAATAATTAGATTCACTTTTAATTAGAAAAAAAATTATAACACGAAATAAATTAATAAAATATCAATTTTAATATAATCGTCCATTTCAAAATCCTATACAGCACGTAATAAATTTTATTTTTTTTATGTGCATTAATAGGCAATGACTTTTCTAGGTTTATATATCCAACCAAGTTTTTATTTATTTATTTATTTTGACAATTTGTTTCCTTTGGGAGAGGCGTGTGTTTAGAAAACAATTGGAACATAAAATCAACTACCAACATTTTTAAGGCTTCGTTTAGCATGTGAATTGGTTTTGGCTTTTTAATTTTTTAATTATTTTAGTCTAAGCTTAAAAAGTCTTGTTTAAAATATTTTTTAATTTCTTTGACTTTTATGAGAGAAAAAATAAAATAATTATGGTTTGGTGCCACACGGAGGCTAAATAATTAAACCAAAAAAAAATACTCTAAATATTGGGTGTGACTCTTACAAAAAATAATAATAATAATAATGTAAGTGCAAATTTTTTATAGAAGAGATGCCGATATAAGTATTCTAGGGTTTGTTTGAAAAGTGGGTTGATTTTTTGACTTTTGGATTTTTTTGATTATTTTAACTTGAGGCTAAAAAGTTTGGTTTGGGAGAGGCTAAAAAGCTTGGTTTGGGAAAGGCTTTTAATTTTTTTGGCTTTTTTAATTTTTTTGTGAGAAAAAGAATATAATGATTATGGATTGGATATGATGTTTTGTCTTATTGGGTTAAAAAATCTATTTTATTTTTTGTGGCTAAAATAGCCAAAAAAATCCCAAGTTAGACTTCCCAAACGAAACCTAAATATAAATCTCTATATCTATAATATCTTGTATGTTATATATAAAGTAAAACCTGAGATGATGTAAATGTCACGGATTTTCTATTCCGAAAACGTCCATAATAATTTGAAAAATGTTACTATGAAAAAATTAATCAAATTTTCAAAAATTTAATTATTTATCTTCCCCATTTCTCAATTACAAAAATCCCGAAAACGTCCATAATAATTTGAAAAATGTTACTGTGAAAAAACTAATCAAATTTTCAAAAATTTAATTATTTATCTTCTCCATCACATGCATTTGTACACGTATCACATGTGCACCGGCCACTAATTTATATATAAAGCAAACACTCTATTAGTATAAATGTTGTAACACCCTAAAATTATTGAAAAATCATAAAAATTTAAATAATAAAATAACTTATAAAATTAACTTTTTAACATCTTGATAGGAAAGTTTCATTTCTCGTACATCCAAAGGTTTAACAACATTAAAAAACAAAAAATTAAAAGTTCAAATACAACATCTAACATCATAACAACCTAATACATAAGATAGTAAAAATTTATTTTGCTAAAATCTTGACTTCAAGTTAGCCAAGGTCCTATATTAGCAACAGCTTCAAGTTCAGATTCAGTCTCTTCCTCATCGTAATTTGGCATAAAACGCGAGTACAACAAAATACATGCCATGAATTTTGCAACACAGTAAGAAAATATAACTAACCTACATTCTTTTTGAAGAAAATAATCAAATCAATAATCATGACAATTAAAATAATAATAAAATTAATAGCACGATAAATATAACAACCATTATAATAATTTCAATAATTTTAATAGCTTAGGTAACATTCAAAATCTCATCAAAGAGATCTTCTTATAAATTATTAAGTTATGGTCACGGTTAATTTGAAGACCTCTGGTCAAATATTCAAGAACTACCAAGAATGTCCACACCCAGAGTTATATACCCAA